CCCTCACCCTCTTCCCAAAAGTCAAGTAGAAAGATCGGGATAATGAAGTTTTTTTTAGAGCATCCGAGGAAAGGAGCGGATGGAGAACCATGATCGCCGATGTCTGTCGCAGATCAGGCACTTGATAATGAAACTAAAATAATTAATCATAAATATAATACTTACCCATGGTTAAGAAACACTTTCCTTCAGTCCATTCAGAAACTTTCTTTACGTTAGTCTCCTGGTGTGGGATCATTGTGCTAGCCTCGGGATTCTCGTCCTTTTGGATGTACAAGTTTGTACCCGTGCCGTGTGAAGAGAACTGTGCCGCTGATCTACCCGTGGTGCAGATAGTGGCTGTGGTGTAGTATGGAGGAAATACAAATCGTGTAAAAATCGGGCGGCATGCAAAAAAATCATACAGCGTGATCGTGTATTTGTATTAAAGCGGACATTTCGAGCTCATTTTTTATTTTGCCAATTTGCATTTAGCTTTGGGTGGCATTTGTAGGTCAACGATCAAACAATTAACAAAAGAAAATTAAATCCTGATTTAGAATACTTTTTTAAAACAAACTATTCGGGCCCACTGTTAAACAACGCCCTCTGGGGCATACACAGAATCACTACAAAAATGATTTACAGTAACCTAGCCTCCAAATTGCTCAGTTTGAGACAGCGACATCGTCTTGCCGTCAGATTTAAGTGCAAGCACGTAGTTATCTCCCCCTCCCCTCTACTACCTCAACCCTAGACCGCCTGGCGTCCAGACGTCACCACCTGATTCTTGAAAAGTAGGCCTACTCACCCGTTGGACTGTTTCATAGGAATGCGTTAAAGTGCGGTGCTGACGTTTTATGTATTAGGTGTACGCTCTAAATCTCCTGTTATTTCTTACTCATTTTCGGCGAATGTTTAAAAAAACAAACGAGTTACATGTCGGAGACTTAAGTTTGCAGGGGTAAGGATATAGACTCAGTTGGTCACCCAAATTTAAAAACCGCATGCAAATACATAAGAATACTAAACGGAGCGAATTGTGCTCATCCCGCTTTAACCGTAGACTGACGAAAGTGAACTCGCAATTGAAGGAATTTAGAGAAAATAAGTCATTGCAGTGTGATTTCGATTTTTATATAACCAGTTCACCTACATTGTTAAGAATGGCTTAATGATGAAAATGGGCCTTAAGTGCGTTTGGTATTTATATTTATGTTATGTTGTTTGTCCTTCGCTTATGAAGAATGACTTCACAAATTGGTCAGATTGAGATAGCGACACCTTCTTGCCGTTAGATTTCAGTGTAGGCATGTAGTTACGGGATGAAAACAATTCGGTCCGTTTAATATTTTTGTGTAATTGCATGGTATTTTTAAATTTGGGTGACCGACTGAGTCTAAATCCTTACCCCTGCAAACTTCACACACACACACACACACACACACACACACACACACACACACACACACACACACACACA